TCCGTGCGGGATGGGCAGCACACGAGGAGCGTGAGTCGGTGTTGCGTCACCCATACGATTGCGCCGGGGCTCGGCTGAACGGCCAACGAATTCAGCTGCAGTGCGCCGCCAGCTGCCTCGTATTCATGAAGTGAGCAGCCAACAGACGGAGAGCCCAGCCCGGTAAGAGGGAGGTGCAGGTGCAGAGTCTGCCGGACCAGAGGGGTCTTGTCGCAGCCCACGCCACCGCCAGCCTCTTCCTACAGAGGCCTCCAGCTGGCCACAGCTGCAGCCGATTGATGTGTGTGTTCCTCTGCGAGAGGGACCCAATTGATAATAATAGTGGTGGCACATGTACCCGCAATTTAGGAGAGTTGCAGGAGCCCAGGGAAACCGGGCTGCGGGCGGCAGCACGGGGAATCCGTCTCGAATTGCGGATTTCCGAAGCTTTGACGGCGCCATGCGGTGCCCGATGAATTCCTCGCCTGGCCAGCTGCTGAACGCGTTCCGAATTGTTATCCCCTCCAAACCGGCAAATTGGATCATACCGAATCGACGGCGTGGGAGAATGTTGATTCTATCTTCTGGCGTTGCCTGTTTTTAAGGGGGTGCTGCTGCCTTGGCCTGCCCTTCTCTGCGTGTCCTCCTCACCCTCCTTTCTTTCTCTCTCTGCCCCTCGCTAGACTGTGCGTGTGTGTATCTTTGCTACGGTGACAAGAGTGGGGATGGCTGGCCGTGTGCTGTTGGTGTGTGCCCTCTGCGTGCTGTGCTGCTGCGGCGGCGGTGTCGGTGCGTGGGGTGGCGGCTACTGCACGGAGAGTGACTGGAGGGACTTGATGGCGGTTGCGAAGGACATGACGGAGGCGGAGATTGAGGGGCAGTACTGCAGCCGCAAGCCGGAGTTTGTGCAGGGGCCGCGGGCAAGTCTGCAGTCTGTTAATGGCGAAGACGAAGGCGAAGAACAGAAGACGAGCGCGGGGGATGGAAAGGAGACGAGCGGCAAGGAAGGTACGGATGAAAGTGAAGGTGGTCTTTCGACAGACAAGAGCAAGAACGGGAACGCAACAGATGAAGAGCCTCCTGCGAAGGGGTCGGGAGGGGCAAGCCACACCTCGTCGCCGGACGATCAAAAGACACAAGATGGTGGAGTGGGGCAAAAAGATTCACCACAAAAGCCAACAACCAACGACGGGGAGGGAACGGATGGAAAAGAAGGCCCGTCAGGTGACACGGATAGCACCAGGGATCAATCAGGGGGCGGCACTGTAAATCCGGAGGAATCGGAACGCACGAAGGGAGAAGAAATACCACCGCGGCAGGGAAGCTCACCTTCACCATCACCAGAAGAAAAGCCGTCGTCGCCAAGCCGACCAGAAGAAGGGCGCGGATCCTCAACTGACGTCAGTCAAGGAGAAACCAATGCAGGGAAGGAGGGGCAATCGGCAGACGACAACGGTTCTGCCACGCAAAATCCATCGCACGTGCCGGAAAAAGGGCCGCAGGAGAAACAGGCAGCGGAAGGAGACCCAGAGCAGAGCCACCAAGGCCATCCTTTACCGCTACAACCGCACACGGAGGGTACTCAAAATACGCTGAGCGACGACGCAGATTTGCAGGGCGGTGAAAAGAAACCTGCAGCAGGGCACACAGACAGCGCTGCAAAGGACGCTGCGGCTACGAGTAACACTGGCAACGACGCCGAAGTGCAGTCAAAGCCGGCAAGCCCCGTGACTACAACCGAAGATGGTCAGGCGGAGCAGGGGCACACCGCAGTGCCCACCTCCGACGAACAACCAGAAGCGAGTGGTGGGAAGAAAGAGCAAACCGCCAAGCCCGAAGCAGGGGCGGCTGCGCAAGCGGCCATCAACGCCACCAAACCAACGGGGCCGGCGCCCGGCGACAGTGACGGCAGCACCGCGGCCTCGCACTGCACCTCCCCCCTTGCGCTTCTTCTGCTTCTTGCGTGTGCGGTGGCTGCTGCGACGGCGGCGGCGTGAGGGAGCGGTGCGCAGCTCGTCCGTCCCTTAAATCTATATATTTCTCTTTTTTGTGTGTGTCCTCCTGCACGGGCTGTCGCCCTCG